ACGCCAGCTCTTTTGCCCTCTAACGCAGTCATGGACTCTTCTGGTTCTAGAAATCTGTCTTCATCCAAGTCAGAAGATAGTGCTGCCCCATTTACCTCCCCTTCCCACCTGTCTGTCTCTAGAAGTCAGGTGAAGAGGCAGCTGGAGAGACTGAACAGGAACAAGGCTGCAGGTCCAGATGGTGTCAGCCCCAGAGTACTGAAGGCCTGTGCAGAGCAGCTCTGTGGGATTCTGCAGCACCTCTTCAACCTCAGCCTGGTACAGGAGAAGGTTCCAGTCCTGTGGAAGACATCCTGCCTAGTTCCAGTTCCAAAGAAAACTCGCCCATCAGTCAATGACAACTACAGACCAGTTGCCCTGACATCCCACATCATGAAGGTCCTGGAGAGACTCCTGTTGGTCCACCTGAATAAGCAAACTAGGACATATCAGGACCCGCTGCACTTTGTTTATCACCATGGAGATGGAGTTGAAGATGCCATCATCCAGCTGCTTCAACCAATCCACTGTCATCTGGACAAAGCAGGCAGCACTGTGAGGGTCATGTTCTTTGATTTCTCCAGTGCATTTAACACAATTCAGCCTGATGTACTTTGCCAGAAACTCCAGAAGACACAGGTGGGGGCCTCAACTATCACCTGGATTAAAGACTACCTGACAAACAGACCACAGTTTGTGAGGCTGAAGAACTGCACATCAAACCAGGTGATCAGTAACATTGGAGCACCACAGGGGACTGTACTCTCACCATTCCTTTTCAACCTGTACACCTCAGACTTCCAGTACAAATCTGAGACCTGTCAGCTACAGAAATACTCAGATGACTCTGCAGTTGTCGGGTGTATCAGAGATGGACAGGAAGCTGAGTACAGAGAGCTGGTGGAGCGCTTTGTGGCATGGTGTGGAAACAATCATCTGACCTTGAATGTGAACAAAACAAAGGAGATGATTTTAGACTTCAGAAGAAACAGGGGGGAGTCAAACACTGTTTCCATCATGGGAGAAGAAGTGGAGGTGGTTGAGGAATACAATACCTTGGAGTTCATCTGGACAACAGACTGGACTGGAGAAAGAACAGCGAAGCCGTTTACAAGAAGGGACACAGCAGACTGTACTTCTTGAGGATGCTTAGGTCCTTCATTGTCTGTGGCAAGATGCTGCAGATCTTCTACAAGTCTGTTGTTGAGAGTGTAATCTCTTCAGCCATCGTCTGTTGGGGTAGCAGCATCAGAAGCAGGGACCTGAAAAGACTCAACAGCCTAATAAAAAAGGGTGGTTCTGTTCTGGGGACGACTGTGGAACCACTGGAGGAGATAATGCAAAGAAGGAATCTCCAGAGAATCAAGAAAATGATGGACAACCCTGAGCATTCTCTTCACAAGACTGTTCGACAACGGAAGAGTGTCTTCAGTCAGAGGCTTCTTCAGTTTTGCTGCAACACTGACCGCTACTGGAGATCCTTCCTGCCAACAGCCATTGTAATATACAATAACACTTTGATGGCTTGATTATTATTATTATCCTGAGCTACTACAGCAAACAATTTCCCTCTGGGATTAATAAAGTATTTTTAATTTAATTGAATTGAATTAAAATACATTATCAGAAATTATCAGTATCAGTTTTTACTCTTTTAATGACACAACTTTTACATACCATGAACATGTTATACAGAGAACTCCTCAGCTATTTTCTCACTCAGAATGTCAAACTATAAACTATATATTTTATTGTTGTTTGCTTGGCACAACTAGCAAAGCTTTAATTGAACTTGTTATATTTAGCACAGCTAATATTAAAAATTGAGGAATGCATGATAAAAGATGTATAATCTTAATTGCCTATAATTATTTATTTTTTCTTGTTTTCATGAAGGGGGATCCCAAATATACTGGTATAGGATTAAAATGGTATTGGAAATTAGGTGTTATGGGCTCGACACACGGGAGGCGACATCACCTCTCCTCCATCCATTTTCAATGAGACATGCGCGACAAAGCGATAATCGTGGGTCTCCCTCCTACCAAGTGAAACGCGAAAAACGTGCGTGTGAAAATTTGTGCTCATGCACGTGTCGTGCACAGGCGACCCAGCGACGCAATCCCAGAAAGTTGATACATTTTCAACTTTTCATCGTTGTCGCTCGGACGAGGACCAATGAACGGAGGTTTCATTCACTGACCAATGAGCGGACAGGATGCTCCGTACACCTCCGCGCAAACATGGAGGAGAAGTTGATTATTATTATGTTTTATATAGTAAAATCACAAGTAAGATTTCACATAACTCTAGCAGCACCTTGTGAAACATCATATCTACCACTTTATTAACTCTGAACCACTTAAATAACCTTAATTCCCTCCAACCTGACACAGCCAAGCAAAACAACGGAAGTTTCGATTTTGCCATAGAACAGAATGCGTAGATGGTTTTGCCGCTGGCCGCTGCCGCGGATCGCCTCCGGTGTGTCAGGTAATGAAAGTGACAGCGACAAATTTCGCTGATCGCGGTCGTTTGTCGCCTCCCGTGTGTCAAGCCCATTATGGGCTCGACACACGGGAGGCGATCCGCGGCAGCGGCAAAGCCGTCTACGCGTTCTGTTCCATGGCGAAATCGAAACTTCCGTTGTTTTGTTTGGCTGTGTCAGGTTGAAGGGAATTAAGGTTATTTAAGCGGTTCAGAGTTAATAAATCGGTAGATATGATGTTTCACAAGGTGCTGCTAGAGTTATGTGAAATCTTACTTCTGATTTTATTGTATAAAACATAATAATAATCAACTTCTCCTGCATGTTTGCTCGGAGGTGTACGGAGCATCCTGTCCGCTCATTGGTCAGTGAATGAAACCTCCGTTGATTGGTCCTCGTCCGAGCGACAGCGATGAAACGTTGAAAATGTTTCAACTTTCTGGGATCGCGTCGCTGGGTCGCCTGTGCACGACACGTGCACGAGCGCAAAATTTCACACGCACGTTTTTCGCGTTTCGCTTGGTAGGAGGGAGACCCGCAATTTTCGCTTTGTCGCGCATGTCTCATTCAAAATGAATGGAGGAGAGGCGACGTCGCCTCCCGTGTGTCGAGCCCAAGACTATATCAGTGTATTGGTTTTTAAAAAATACCAACCGTCCAAATAATGTGGTTCGTTATTTCAGGATTCAGCAAAGAAGGAATTACTTTTCCAAATCATTGTAAATTTGAGTAGGTTTGTGATTTATTTATTTATTTATTTGTTTGTTTGATTTTAATGTTTTTGCCCAGATTGTTAATCTCAGATTGTTATTTTTCAATCTAAAATATATTTTTATTTATTTTGAACTTTTGTGTCTGCTTTCTAACTAAGTTTATTGCAACGATTTATCATATTTATTATTGTCATGAAAAGAAATTCAACTTTTGAACTTTTTCCTGTTGAGTAGGTTTATATCATACTTGGAGGAGGAATTTCCATTGCAAACTAGTATTAATTTATTTAGAGAAACAGCCAATCAGTGTGTGGAAAATCATATTTTTCTCTGTTGCAAAAAGTGTTAAAGCATGCTGCAGCCACATGTTCTATTTGTTTTGCACAAACACTGAATCAGCCTGATGATGCTTGCATGTCTTGTTGATTTGAAGTGACTTGTGTGATGGATAGACTAATTGCCAGCTTCCCCCCACCACCCCATATTTTTGCACTTGTGAAACCATCAAAACGATGTCAGCTCAGTGAGATGGAGATAGACATGGACAGTCTGCAGAGGCAATCTGCTGTGTTGAATCATCCATCTAGGATGCACCACAATCCTGCACAGTGCTCAGAATCAAAAATAGGGGTGATTTCTAAAGCTGCTTCTGCTGGATCCAAGTGAAAGAATTGCTCTGAGCGGTCTTCTAGGCATGTGTGCATATAAGCAGCTGTGGTTCTTCAAATTATTGTATTATTTGTTTATTTGGCTCATTGCTTTGTGCATTTCTTTTAAGCTGATTCAAGTCTCATTTTTGTTCCTCCAACCGGATTATTCCAGTAAGTTACTCATCAGAGAGCAGTCTTAATGAAGCAGGGAAATTGTCCTGACACCGTTTGAAGAAGAAGTTGGAATGAATTGAAATAAATAAATCAGAAAGTTAACAGAGCTTAAACTGGGAAGCTGGTGATATGTCAGAATGGATCAGAGCTGTTTTACAACCAATATCCCTTTGATGCGTGAATTATGAAATCTTCAACCATGATTTTTTAACAATTTCTTTCATTCATCTTTAGGTGTGAATGAAACAAATTTCAACAAACATTTTTTGTAAAATGTTATAATTTACAAATAATTTATTACATGTCCACCTCAGTGGACAGCGTACATTCTGAACATGAAATGTGTTGGCTTGGCTTACTGAAGTCCAAATGGAGGGGCTCAATTGCAATTAAGTCTTCAACAGCTGTGCTTAATAGCAAAAACAAATAAATAACAATTTTGAGTATCTGTCCACTGTAGTGACCATTATGCATCAAAGGGATATATATACTAAGAAGAAATATACCAAAAAAGGTCCATAGCGTGTCTCTCTGTCCAGGTCAGTGTTTGTCTTTGGGTCCTCCTACACCCTCCTTGGATGCTGGTGGTGGCACTGATTGTGTGGCAGCCTTACTTAGTGTCCCCCAGGACAGCTGTGGCTATGTAGTTTAATAAAATATCCTGTATTCATAGACTGCGTGATTTCAGAACCTTGGTTTTGCTCGCCGTGATCTCTCGTTGATCTTCTCTGTCTCTCAGACTGAATTGCAACTATACGTGGAAATGTGCCTTGCTGCACCCAAAGACGCTGACAATTCTTAAAGGTTTGGCTTCCTCATCTTTCTCTGTCTTCTACTTCAAGGCTTGGTTATAATCTCATACAGCTGTCAGATGCAGGAGAGTTCACATTTCTTAGGATTTCCCTCTTTACATGCATCATCTTCGAGATGTGAATGAGCAAGGCTGTCTCAGAAAAATTTCTCCTGGACACTAAAACTGAGCATATCCAGATGAAATCACTTCAAAACATCTTTATTTGATATTTTATAATAAAAATGCAAGCAGAAAAAACATTCCAACCTTTCTACAAGAGACGTTTATACAGATTTTTGATGCACATAAATAAAACGTTCACGTTGCGTTGCTTTAGGAAAGAAAAAGATGACACAAATAATCAAGATTTACATAAATACATTCGTAGCGTGTGTCCATGTGCTTACCAAACTTTCATTTTCTTATCTTTAAAACACAGAAGCACCTCACCAGAGTCAATAAAATAAAATAAAATACAATAAAAAATAAAATAAAAAAAGAAATAAAATAAAATAGAAAAGTCTGTTTTTATTAAACAAGCCTTGTTTGTAGAAATCCAGTCCTCGTGTTGCAGCGGAGTAGATTGGGATATTTCTAATCATGTCTTTTGTGTTTTCAGCTCTATGGTAAAGATGTAGAGATAAACTTATCTCAGGCACTTTCTGAAATCACAAAGTTGTTAAAAGACAAACACAAAGATAGAATTTCATACATGTTGATGCCTGTTGTTTTGCCTCGTCTTTACAGCAAACCGGCTCTTGTCTTTGTTTTATAAAATTGTTGTGTTGAATTTGTTTTTTAAACCAATCAGACGTGTCCTAACAATGAAGGTACAGAAAGAGGCAGGTTGGTTTTAAAACTTGGAGGAAAAAATGAACAACCAGATAATTAGTACAATAAAGTACAATAAAAGAAGTTTATTTATGTTGAAACCCACCTCTAGGGGCACTCTCATTCTTTCAACAGGCCTGCTTCACTGCAGACATTTTTATTAGGAGTTCAGGGAAAGCACGGATGAATTTCTATTTCTGGGGCTCCTGACTGCTTTCTTTAGAGTGAACGATTACAAACAGAATTGGTTGCTGCGCTCCTTTGTACGCCTAAATCAGCGGTAGATTTATTCAGTGAGTGGGGAAATTACGTTCACACATTCCTGACTCTGTCGGAAGATGCTGTGAAAAGAAATGTGCAACTATGGCAGGAGTTGTTGTAGCAGCTTGAGTTGGAGGAAGTTCCTCACAAAATAATTGCATTATGTTGCAATACCTTCAAATTCCTGTATAGGGATGATTCTTTAAAGCATGTCAGAAAACTTTTATCTGCTAATATAATAATAATAATTATTATTATTATTATTAGTATTATTATTATTATTATTATTATTATTATTATTTTAATACAATATTTAGCCATGTTAATAATGAAAAATGTTACTCTAGCTAGTATATCTTTGCCTTTGTCCTCCACCAGGGGACGGGAGACATGAATAGGATTCATTGTGCAGATTTTACATGAAAGGACTAACACTGTTAAAGAGGCAGGGCTCCTGGGTGGATTAAATGTGACTTTTTTTTTGGGGGGGGGGGGGGGGGGGGCATCATTTGGTAGTTAAAATCAACAGTATCGAAGTTTGACATTTTCTTTCCATAAAACAGCAAAATATATATTTATTTTGTTCAAAGCGTTATAATTTTGGATTTCGGCAAACAACAAATAATTTTTTCAGTGTTGGAAACCACAAACTGCTAACGAGTTTTGCACCAGCAGATTTAAAGCTACATTCTAAAACAGTCAGGAGATATGTTTATGTTTATTTATTTAGCAGACGCTTTCATCCAAAGCCACTTAATATTTATCACCTATAGGGCATGTTGTGATCTGTGGGGGAAACCAGAGTGCCCGGAGGAAACCCAGGCATGCATGGGGAGAACACGCAACTCCACGCAGAAAGGCCGCAGCAGAGTTTCGAACCCGCGACCTCCGTGCTGCGAGGCAACAGTGCTAACCACTGCGCCACCATGCAGCCATGTAGGATACGTAACACCAAGGGGGACGTCTAGGCAGAGCTGCAAATAATTCATGTTTTCCCTCATTTCTAATCCAAATCAGGCAGAGCAGGATGTTTCCATCTGTGTTTTATCGGTGCATCAGCTGAATGGACAAACAAAACTCCGTCTCTAAAGACAGCAAAGCTTTTATAATCTACATTTTATATTATTCATGTTTTAGCAGCTCTGAATGGAACTGGAAAGAAATCTATACCTTCACTGTTAGCTGTCACCCTCTTCACAAATAACAGTACTAATTTCATGTTTTGTTTTTAAACTATGTTATAAAATAAGTGTAGAAAATAACCGTGATTCCAGTAAAATGCTTAGTTACAGTTTCAGACAAGAGCAGGGTGCTTCTTTGAAACTACCTTGTAAATGCACTAGAAGAGGCGTTTATATTTGTACAATAAATGAAACATTTGACAACCTAAAAATAACTTCTAAGTGGTATTTCCTTTTGTTTTAAGGCAATTAAATTTTAAAAAGTTACAAATCAGCAATGAAAAAATTAAATTGATGTCTGATAATAGTCACTTTCAGCTTTTTATAAGTATTAGTATCTAAGTACATTTATGTAAAAAGGACCAAAGGTGCGATCAAATTCCTCACCGAGCACGTTGACACACTCCTGCAGCCTGAATTTGATTTTCTGTTTCTCAGGAGGGGCTCTTCATGTAAATGAGTGAATCTTATTTCAACACTTAAAACCTTTAAGGTTAAAGAGATGTATTAAAACCTTGAATAATAAATGATAACCATGCCATTTCCTGCAGAACTGTCTGATCTACTGGTGTTCATGTCAAGCACAAAGTCAAGTACCAGTCAGCTGCAACAATTTCAATGAAAGCAGCTTTAAATGAAACTCTTCTTTTTGATTGTATTTACCTTTTTGATTGTTATCACTAAACAACAAAAATCAAAGTCACTTCTCATTCAAATGAAGGAAAATATAATATAAAATAAAATAATAAAACCACAGTTTTTTATCTTATTTTGTTAAAATTGTGTGAAAACATACATTGCTACTTTTAATGGGCAAAAAGCAAAATATATTGAATTAATTATTAAGAGCAGATCTTTCTCCTTGCTCTCTCGCTGAATCGACTCAGATCATTTTCGTATCAAATATTCTTCACAAAAGTCTGCACACTTTCTATAGCTCTTTTGAGTCCAGATTTTTAGCTTCTCTCATCCTCTTCATACATTTTAATCCAAGTCAAAAGCAATCAAATACTCTGGAGGATTTACCCTGTAAACAGCAGAGGAAAGAGTCAGTTTTCCACAGTCTCAGCTGTTTGACTTCATGCACAATAAAGGGTACAAGGCAGTCGCGTGGCCTGAAATCCTTTGCACGACACAGGAAGTTCATCCTCTTCCTCGTCCCTCCCATTTTCATCTCCATTCCAGCCAACACAAGTACAGGTGTGCTTTGCTTTTGCAGGACTGAAGTTTGAAAGGTTCTTTGAAAGCTACAAAGTTGTGTAGATGTAGACAAAAATGATGACTACCAGGTTGAGAATGGTCCCAATGATGCCCAACATGGCCAAGATAGTCTCCTCCTTACTCTCCTTATCTTGAATTCCCTTTTCCTCATCATTGTAGACAGTGTTTACCATTTTCTCCAAAAAAAATCTGCAGCTTCTGTCTCAGACCAATCTAGAGCAGACAGACAAGAAGAAAAGGGTTTAGCACAATTACCATTGTTTAAGATTTCAAAAGATTTGCATGGTTTGATAAAGAGATTAAAACCACCATCAAGGGCAATGAAGGGTCACATTGTGCATCTAAAACAGACAAAATTTCTAAGATTTCATAGTAAACTCTATGGAAAAACATTTCATAAAGCAATTCATAAAATATGAAAATCTTTTGGAAATTGGAGCAAAAAAAATCCATAACAAGTGTTTTGCAATGTTTTCACCTCATCTTCTTGAAGGGTTAGAGACACTGGCTTGCTTCAAATCTAATCAGGTGATAAATCCATGCACCTGGCGGGAGGAGCTTGAAAGAACAATAAAGAGTTGTTAACATTTTAAGCTGTTGCTGGTCTTTAAGCCAGAAACTTGACCAGCTTCACTTTGGGCAGCGCTCTGTAGCCCTCTGCTAGAGGCAAAGGCCACTTCACAGCTAAAGCTGCTTACTGTGCCAGTAGCTCATAAAAAGGCTAGCAGCTAGCTTTTTCAGTTTGCCGACCATCAATACAAAGTGCAAGAAGTTTACTGTTTCACGGTGGAGCCTGGAGTAAAAGTAAGGGAGGCAATGCAAAGAGAGCGCTAACTAGACCAAAACAACAGAGCTAAAGCCAGAGTGAACATTCTGCAAGGCCTGCACTCGTTGGTTTCAGACTCAAACCATCTAAAAAAGTAGCTAAGTCCTTTTGTCTTATTGTTTCTGAGCTGCCAATAATCATTCATAAAAACAGCCCTTTGACACATGGGCAAAGTTTTACGGGGGAGACGGGGGAACATGCCCCCCCCCCCCAACACACACACACACACACACTTTTTTCCGAAGTCAATTTTTGTCCCATGCACTTTTTACTGTCCACAAACAGTATTGCACTATATTAAATAGACACTGGTTGAGCACTAGGACCAAGCGGACATATTTATTATGTAATTACTGTAAAGACCCCCTGGACCTCATGCCGGTTGTGTCCCCCACTTCTAAAGTCAAAACTGCGTCCGTTGGTCTGACAACATCATTATCTGCATCCTGCAGCAGGGTTGTTTAATTCCACTTTCAGCCAGTTGTGAGAGAAGCGAGAAACGTATTAAATGTTATTTTAAATGACTGAAAAGACTTGAATAATAATAAACTTGAATAATAATAATAATAATTATTATTATTATTATTATTATTATTATTATTATTATTATTATTATTATTATTATTATTATTATTATTATTATACAAAATCTAAAAAACGGCACTCTTGTGAAAACAAAACATTTTTTCTTGTTACGTTTTAATCATACATAATGGTCTGCATAAAGAACATTTGGGGAACTCAGCTTACTCAGCCAAATATCAGCCAGTGAGGTACACAGTGTACCTGTCTGCGCCTCAGGTAACTTTTTGTTGAACTCCTAATGGAAGTCAAAAATATGCAGTTGTTCCTCCTTCTGAGGTTTTTACTGAGAGATGGAGCTTCCTGTTTGTAGGTTTATTTTTAGTGTGTGCGTTCATTTACGTGCTTTCCTCTTGCTAGTTGGCGTTATAAAAGCCATTGACCCGCAAGAGCAGCCCTTTTCTCCTGAGAGGTGTTTGGATGCAAACTTGCACAAGCTGCTGTGCCTGCGGGCTAAAAACATACAGCCAGTTTCTAACACAGCACCCTGGGCAATATATATCAGCACACACACACACACACACACACACACACCTGTGAAACCTCACATGACTGCTGGAACTCTCAAACCTGTATCAAAGCTGTCCAACAGCAGAAGACGTTGAAGCTAAAAAAGAGTCTAGTGCACGAATATATGCTGTCGGTTTTTCTTTTTACTTTTTTTGTCTCAAGGCTTCAGAGCTGCCAAGACTATCCACCTCAAGTCAAGGATGTCAGCCGCAAAAAGGGATTTGGTGCCTGATTTCTGAATAGAATGCGATCATAGCTGCAGAGATTCTGCTATGAACAGAGGTCCACTTCCTGTTTATCATAAGTAGATTATTAAGAGTGTGCTGTTTCATAATAAAACCATAATCAGTGAAAATGGATTAAGCAGCATGTGCAGCTATTTTTGTATGTGCTCAATTTCTGGTTTTGTTGTAACAAGGTTTGAAATAAACAAAACATCCACATTTGTATGCCGATGAATAGAATCAAATGTATATTTACAGCTTTTTTATATTTAAACCCATCAGGATCCATATGAAGATTTAAAACAACGTCCTTCATGAAAATAAACCAGAAAAGGAAGCATGCTGCCTTCTTAGCTGATTGGATTCAAAACTCTTAAAAAAATTACAGCAATTAAAATAAAAATGTTTGAAATAGCACTTAGGGCCACTCCTACAGAAAAAGAAATAAATGAGGATTATATTTTTTTAGATGTTTTTGTTTTTTACCCCGTTTATAGAATATTTGAGGGAAAAAAGGTGACTAAATTAAAGGAAAAAAACATACCAAATATTAGATATGTTAAATATTATACCTGGACTGCATTCACCTGTATCTGTTGATTTTTATTTTATTTTATTTTTTTCATGTTTGATTTTGAAACGTCTCTCTACTATTTAGATATTTTACCTAGAATTATTTATTTTTGAACTTTTTTAAATTATTTTTCCCCCCATGTCCTGTCCGGCTATGAAGCAAACAGATTTAATGTCTGAATGCTGGTGACAAGCCTTACAGATTTACTCTCAGGTGGAGCATCAAAGCTTCTGCTTTAATGTCACGCCTGATACTTAAAACTTTGTTAGTATTTTGGATGCTTTTTAATTGCGACCAGACACGGAGACAGAGGTGAAAGAGAAAGGAAGAGACAAAAGGAAGAGGTAGGAGGGTTCCAAAAAAATACACAATCAATGATGAATAAGAATCTGTTTCTAGACTTGCAGAAAGAGAAAAAAAGGGACACACAACAATACAACAAGAGCAAAATATCACTGCATCAACCTGATGAGGAAATTTAAAATCAACATTGTTTTGCTGATAATAAATCAGTGCATTTAGTGCCAACCACAGCCTTAAGACATGTGTTGAATATGCCCAAGTCCGAGCACCATGTGAACACATGTGTGTGTACCCGCACTTGTATATGTAAGCTTTCTCTAAAGGAGCATCCAATAGAGAGTGTGAGGGGCCACAGATCTGCCCCCCAAAGATCTGTAGGAGATGGAGGGATCTCCAAGCCCCAGAGATCCAGGAGTTGCCCCAGAGCGCAGGGACCCCAGGGAGACTGCCCCAGCCTCCTCTCCAGAGGCGCAGAAGATTGCCCCTGGGGGTCACAACCAGCAGCCGGCAGAGTCCCGGGAGATATCAGCGGCAAGCCCACAGGCCCGCCCACAGCATCCCACCCCCAAGTCGGCCAAGCCCGGAACTCAGCGACCCTTTTTTTCTGCAAGCAGATTTTTTTTAATTGTCTACCCTAATATACGTTCATAGATTTTACAGTTTTATTTAAGGAGAATAAAGTTCCTAATTATTGGCTGAAATCAGACAAAAGACAATACTTTTCACAAACTCATGAGACTGTTATATACCGTTTCATAATTTATATTGTGTGTTTAAGGTGAGAGGTCAGTGATTCATTTATTTAGAAAAAAAGTATCCCCTAGAAAAAAAATGTTTTAATCAACAAAAAATGTTACTATCTGGAAAGAGTCACCATCCAGAAATTATTTTTATGACATACTGATAAACATTTTGCAACATATAACCTTCTTATACAGATGTATAAGTGCTAACTATCCTGAGTGACTGACATCATTGTTTTTGAATCAACAGCCTGCTAGTTCCTTCCAACAGCTGCACAGGAGTACCACAGGGGTCCCTTTTAGGATCACTTCTTATTGTATATTCATGTATGCTGATAATATGGCGCTACGTACACTTGGTTTTGCAGATCAAGCATCAAGTCAGAGAAAGTCAAAAACCCAAAATAATGTAGATACTTTCAGGGCATTGACCCCTGATGAAGTTTTTATTTTCAAATATGATCAAACAATTGAAAAACATGCATAAATCCATTCTTTTGAACGTAAAACACAAGAGAAACTATCTATTGATGCATTAAGCACCGGTTTTTATTACAGTGACTGCCTCATGTCAAGTTCATCTCAAGCATGTAAATGGGCTTTCTTAATTTCCATCAAACATTTCCTTTATTCACCTAAAACATTATTTCTTATAAACTTCGACGCATATAAGATGGGGGGGAATTAAACATATATGAAAATATAGATTGTAGGTGAAAAAGAAAGCATTTCCCTAAGAATATGTATGGTTTAAGTTGGTGCAATGCCCCAGATTAAATAAGTAATCAGACATGCAATCTGTCAGTTTATTTAAAAAAACTGTTGATAAGGAAAAGAGCATCAAAGTTACTGTCCTTGTAAAGTCTTGCGTCCTGCATGGTGACACATAAAACTGCCTTGAGCCTTGTCCATGTGTTAAAGTGCATTTTTCCTCTCTGATCTGTAACAACGGGCTTTGATTGCCTCTCCTGGGGAGCACTATAAACAGGGCTTCCCTTCGACCTGAATGGACATCTTTGTGTGGTGCACTGGATGTGCCCTCATGCATGAAGACGCCCGCTTGCTGCTGATCTAAACAAGCACTCAGCAAAAGAAAACAGAAAGGGAGGCGGGTGAAATTTGCCCCAAAGGTGATGAGGGAAGAGGTAGGAAAGGTGCTGGAAGTGGAAGTGGCAGTGGCAGTGAGACGAGGGGGAGGTCAGGGCTCTGTCAGAAATCTGTGTATTTAGGTAATAGCTTCTCCAATGAGTGCAGCTGTGCATCGGACTGGACGCTTTTCAGAGGCTCCTCATTCAACAACTCCAGTCTGGACTGTCATGAACAGAGTGTTTCAAGTGGCAGCCAAAGCGTTGATCATTAGCCCCCTCCATAATGACTTACCCAGTTTGCTATGAGGTATTCCAGCTGTCAGGAACCAGAATAATGTGGACCAAAAAGCAGCTCCCATTCTGATGCAAAATATTTTAAATTCTGACATTTAAATGCTCATTTGAGCTGATTTCCTACAATTGACTAAACTGTTCATCGCAAGCAGAACCCATCTGTTTTTCCAAGGGAATATTCAAAATTAAAATGATCTCCAGGGGGGGGTTCTTATCCATGACAGGCACACATCTGTCTCAGTCACATTTATATAAAGACTATTAAGAGTCAAGATGCAGAGAGATAGAGAAAGGGAACCGAAACCCTACCTGGGACAACAAATGCAGACACTCCCACCGCACCTGACAGAAGCTAACATCCTCGGATCAGATCACTGGAGAGCGAAACCTTTTGCCACTTGAGTAATCCCGAGCGTGTCAAACAGCAGCTCCAGATGCTAACAAGGTCTGACAAGCAAGGGTGCTTTTGGCATTGTTTTAAAATGGAATTAAAGCTAACAGCTCCTCCCAAGTGTGTATGCACACACACTCCCTCATAATCAAGGTTTACGCCCATCAGAAACTGATATTCATGCAAAAATAAGAATTTATCTTCATGTTGATTAAACCCTGCCAAAATTCCATATTTTGTCCTGTGAGTAACGGGAAAGTTGGTTTGGGAATAATTTGCATGTTTTTTTTTTATTAATCACAAATTGTGCTCAAGATGCAGAAGGAAAGTTGAGACGTTCATGAATTTGTGTGTGTGTGTGTGTGTGTGTGTGTGTGTGTGTGTGTGTGTGTGTGTGTGTGTGTGTGTGTGTGTGTGTGTGTGTGTGTGTGTGTGTGTGTGTGTGTGTGTGTGTGTGTGTGTGTGTGTGTGTGTGTGTGTGTGTGTGTGTGTGTGTTCATAATCAGTGTGTCCAATGAGCTGTTGGTGAAGCTTAGTTTTTATTTAAACACATGGAAAAATATTGTAGAGAAATTAGAAATAAAGACTTAGGTTGTATGTCTGCCCTGATTAATGATTCATGGAGACAGCTGAGCTGGGAAAATCCCAGATTTATCAGGAAAAAATCATGATGCGTGAAAAATTCATAGATACAAAAATTTTGATTTCAAGCGTGCTTGTTTTTAAAACAGAGAAGGTTTGTTTTAGAAAAGAAAGAAAAATGTCTGAAGGTGGTAATTACCTTGCAAAGCATCAGGAGTAACGTAGCATCAG